AAAAAAAAAAAAAAAAAGAAAAAAAACTTATATTTTCTTTTCACTCAACACGTGTCACAGTTTACACGAGAAAAGATTTACGATTCTGTAAGAGTGAAATGTTTTCCATTATAAGAACAAAGCGATGTAATAATTCTTAGACCTTTCTTTCCATTGTACCAGTTGTTTAAAAAAATTTGCTACCGTTTATCGATTCGCCATATGGACTTGTACATATCGTATGGTGGAGGATAATTGTTATTCTTATTGGTGAAACGCATGTTACGAACGAATGGAAACGTTTCGACGCAAATTTGCCTCTTTTTTTTTGAACTTTGTGAACAAACGTTTCGAGTATGATATTTTCTCTTTTACGAACTTCATGGCAATTGGTTAAAATTATAGTTCTTTCTCGCGAAGGAATGAATATTTACTCATCACTCTTTCTATAAACATTCGAACAAATTACCATTTTACTTTATAAATTAAAGTGGAGAAATTTTAAAAAAAGACAACATGCTTTTATAACGCTATCTTTGAAAATTGTCTTAATACTTACTTCTATCTATATAACAATTCACATCGAAATAAATTAACGACAAAAATCATGATGAATCAATCCAGAATCATGATTATAAATTTTTATAAATATCGCAAAGACGTAACGTACAAAATCGATTTTCATTGACGGCGAGACGTTCCAAACGAGGCTCATGTCCGATTAATATTAATGCGGTCACACGTACGCGAATAGTACGTGTCCATTGACCGACAATGCGTCGCCAACCAACACGAGAAACGATGAAACACGGTTGCACAAAGTCTGCTCGATTCACACGCCCGCAAAGGGGGGCACACGTTAAAAGGGTCCCCGCGTAAATTGCCCCGGGACGCTAAACGTAAAAATTGGCCGTAGATAGAGATCGGCACAGGGGGAGGAAGGAAGGGAAAGAAGGAGAGGAAGGGATGGGGGAAGGATGGAGGAAGAGTTCCCAAAATTACTCATCCTTTCCCGAATCAAATTGCGTAACAATCTCGTAGCATCGTAGCGTAACGTAAAACGCTGTCAGTGTCGTGATGGCCTCTCCTCCCTCTCCTCTGCCCCTTTGTCATCCCCTCTGACCAACTTCGCGTCGCTATACGTTCATCGGTGTCCCCTTATTCCCCCACCACGATGCTGGGCCTCTTCCGTGCCCACTTCCCCTTTCCGCTCGCTCGAAAACCCGACTCTCCCCAC